ATAATATGCTTGCTCATAATATACTTGCTATGTAGCCTTCCCTAGTCCTCTGTTTATAGTGGTTTTTATAGACACCACAGTGGGTTACATAGACCTACTGATCTGCTTCACAATGGCTGCTGTTAGGCTCTTTCATTCCTAGAGTAAAAATATCATGGGCTTCAATAATCATGTACCCACTTTAAATAAAACTAAAGAGTCACTTTTCCATGCAGTAGATAATTCAATTAAATTGTGGGATCACTCATCAGTGATCTTGTGAAAGGTCCAAAGTATTTAGCTATAAACTAATGGAAGGCAGTCCATTGGTGACTAATTTCTCTCTCTGATATTTTTTTCTCTGATCCTGAACAGCAGCCATTATATCCCAAGAGAAACCAAGAGTGCAATTTGGGAGAGATTTTCAAGGACACTTCCCAAAAAGTTCAAATCTGGACAGTAATTGAACCATAGCATAAAGATTAATTTTACAGAAGAAAAAGACTGAATCATCCGTGTGAAAGAAGTATGTATGAGAAAAGATGCTCAGAGTGCCAGATGAACTAATTGAGAAGAAATGTAAACCAGGCCACTTCCATGTAACCCTCCTCCCAGGAGTTCAGCTATCTGTGATTCCAGACCTACTTTCAGTACAGCGCAGCTGTGCAATTGTTCTCAGTTTCCTTCTGAGAAAATTGCTAGGGCGTGAGAGGGAGCTGTGAGAGAGTGCACAGGCTGGAAGCATTCGAGATAAGAAAGGTAAAGTTGCAGACATAAGTAAGATTGTTGAGACAGGGAAAACTGGCACCTCAAGGATTCAAGGAACAATACTCACATGAAGGGGCATAAAATCCTAACGAGAAAAAAGAAAAGGCAATCAGAAGATAGCAGCTCAGCACTACCACAGATCAGCCTGTTCCAGTGAGCCCCAGAGGCCAGCTCTCCCCTTACCTGAGTGATGACTACTTGCCCATTATACTGAGTGACTCATTTGGTGGGGGTTGATTTAATGCCTAGTTCATTAGTCCTACAAAGTATTGTGTGTTACACGACAAATAATCTGCTTTGTGCTTTTAAGGTGTTTATATCTCGCCTGAAGAATCTCTATGGCAAAAGTTCCCTGAAGAGAGCGAGTCTCTCAGGGGGAGGGTTACATAAGTAATCTAGAATAACAGACAAGGATAATATGATTAGTCATATAGAAAAGCATTTATACTTCAAAGCACAGGTGCACAGGTGGGTTAGGGGATTATAGAACATGCTGGACCTTTTTTTCAGCAGATGATATGTATTTCAGAAAAGTTCTTCATGGCTACAGCATTGAATAAATTATATCTGAATCAGAATACAGAATCTGATCTCTCTAATGAGCCAAGAAACCTGGGACACAAAAGCAGAAGTGTTGGGAAAGCCTAATCTAGGAGAAGGCATTCTGAATACTTACAATCCCAGGACAAGAAAATTAGAACAATGCTTCCCAGAAAGCCCATCACAGAAGGAAATGGATCTGGGAAAATTCTAAATTATCTAAATGAAAAACTAATTAGTGAAACAAAATCTAAATTTCAAAGTCTGACTTGTTGAGGAAGGACTGAGAATGCTGGTGGGAGCTTACAAGAAACACAAGTGAGTAACTTTTATAATTATTCTTCTTCTGATTCAAATGCTTTTAGAAATTGCTGCTTCATTGCACTCGAAGAATCACATGCTCTATGTACACATAAAAGTTTGAAAGAAACTAGCATGTAAGTCAGAGATGACACTACCGAGCCAGAATAATTTATAATAAATTTTAGGAAGACGAATATTAAATTTGTTTTCTCATGCCTGAGAGCTGGCTGGGGAACCACAAAAACTGAGGGAAGATGCCCTTTCCCACCAATGCCTCAGGACATTCTCTCACTTCGTGCTCTCCTCAAAGTGGTTTTAAATGTGCTTACCTAGATGATAATTTACAAGAATAATAAAACTGTGTTGGAAATAAAGTTAAAACTGTTCTTTTCAGGAAGACAAGAAGACTCAAATTTCAGATTATTTCAGTGTCCTATGGGAATAAAGGATAAATCATGAAGGATAACTTTAATCACAGAATCATTTAAGTTGGGAAAGACCTTGAAGTTGAGTTCCAGTATAAAACTAATGCTGTCAGGTCCCACTAAACCATATCTCTAAGTGCCACACCTACAAGTCTTTAAAATATCCCTAGGGTTGGTGACTCAACCCTGGTGAATCCCCTGGGCAGCCTGTGCCAGTGCTTAACAACTCTTTCTTTTCAGTGAAGAACTTTTTCCTAATATTCAATGTGAGCCTTGAGGCCATTTCCTCTTATCCTATTGTTTGTCACTTGGGAGAAGAGACTGACCTCCACTTTGCTACAGCCTCCTTTCAGGTAGGTGCAGAGTGAAAAGGTCTCCCCTGAGCCTCCTTTTCTCCAGGCTGAGCAACCCCAGCTCCCTCAGCTGCCCTTCACAGGATGTGTGCTCCAAACCCTTCAACTTTGCTGCCCTTCTGGGATATGCTCCAGTGCCTCAACCTCCTTCTTGTAGTGAGAGATCCAAACAGAAGGTATTATAGATATTATCTCTACCACCAAACCTGTTTCTACTCCTCCAGGACCCATGGTTGATTTCCCAATAGTTAAATGCAAATAAGCACCAAATATGAACAAAGGGATTCCTTGAAGCAAGTTAGGTATGGCTTTCATGTCAAATTCAGTGGCTGAAACTGTTTAAAAAACTGAAATGAAGTAGTTATCATTTCTGTAGCCCTTGATATATTTTTATTGCATATTAGGCATAACTTTAATTTAAATTTCTTGTTTTATCTACAACTTAAGCATCCAGAGCCTCCAAACCAAGGGTACTCTGAATTCTTTTTATGATTCTGAGTCTGTTTCTTTTTCCAGGTGGCTGTTTTTTGACCTACTCAAGAGAAGAGTCCTGTTCCTGAGTTAGTGGCTTTGACCTTTATGCATCCTTTTATGAAAAACTTTCTGCAATAAGCTTTTCTTTGCCATCAACTGAAGAAGTGAGACCTTTGAAATCAATTTCGGACAGCAGGCCTGCTGGTTAGAGCTAAGTATCTCGTTCTGACAGACTGCACAATGCTTCAAACCAATTTCTTGTCCATTTCTGAAAGATTCCCATCAAATGAAAAAACCCAGTAATAGTAAATACCTTTCTAAGCTATAGATTTTCTCAGTGAACATAATATCATTATATTGAGCTCCTACTGATTGGGTGGAATCAAATATGGCAGGACTAAACCAGTAATTCTTATAAGGCAAAACTTTTATTAACTCTGCCCTTGAACAATATAATTCAAACCTATCAGGTGGAAAAAATATTTCTCTTTATAAATTCCTATATCTATAGAAGTACTTATATGACTATTAAACAGCTTCTTGCAACTCATGGCAAAAGGGGTGTTTTCCCAAGAAGTACAGGCCTTCAAATTGAACATAATGTTAAACTTTAAAGTTAGAGGACATAAGGGTTTGGTTTTTACAAGTTTTACAGAAGTGTATTCCTGTGAACTTCAGTGCAGGTACTCCCCTTTTCATCAGTTTAAGCATGTTTGGAATCAAACCACAAACCTTTAATGACGTTTTAATGATCCACTTGGGGGAGCTAAAGGGTAATTTGTTTGCAAATTGATTGTGGCAAAACGGGATGCAAAATTACAGAAAACAGTAAGAGCAGAATCTTCTACTTTTTTCAACTCACTGCTGATTGATGATCTATATTAGCTTCTGAGGCAAAGGGTCCCCAGTTCTTATTAAAATTCCAGCAATTTAGAGAAAAAAGAATCCCAGTTATAACTAGCTTAGCAGCAGACATCCGTAATGCATCAATCATCTCCTGACTTCCAATTATGTACCTGCAAGATACATTAAATGAGACAAAACACACAAGGCAGAGTTTGGCCCTTACACTACATTTTTCTGCTAGTTAACATCAACCGTGACAGCAAGAAAACAAATTCTAATGTTCGATGTATTTGTCTTCCAACTAAGATGAAATAAGTCCTTTTATGTTTTTCTTTCTTTTGTTTAGATGCTGCCTTGTGCAGAAGTTACTGTGCTGCAACAGGGCTTTACACCATAGTTATGTTTTTTATTTCTCCAGCCTGGGACACAGTGGGAACTGTTTCCTAGCATACAGCTACACCAGCTGCTTTATCTTATGCTTGATTGACTGTGGTTACTGGTAGCCCTTGGACTGCTCTGGGACTCCAGCACTAATCAGAGGCAGAGATGCAGCATCTCCTATACCTGAAGGAAGAGCAGAGCCTTTTTTCTGTGAAGAATCAATAACATAGGATAGCAGGCTTCTCTCCATGTAGAGGTTGCCCTAAAAGTTAATATAAACTGACATTACAGTTAATTTCAGAAGTTACAGCAAAGCTACAATCCTCAGTCCTTTACAAGAGAAACCAACTCACTTACAGACACATAACTCACATGAAAATTCTTCTGGCAGAGCTTTACTGTCAATGTCTTCACTGTAACATTACAAACTTCACTATAACAGCAAAAACTTCCTCTCATTCCAGATTACCCTGCAGTGCAGTCCACATTAAAGTTTATGTTTGCCCCATGTGGACATCTAATTAAACTGAGTCATGTAAATGAAGTTTCAAGCAAAAGTGATAATTAAATAAAAAACTGTGTTATTTTAGAATGACTTACTAACTATAAGGTTTCCTTATTTTATGTCTAATTCAGCTGGAGCTGTGTGCTTTGTAGCTACAAACTCCCAAAATATACTTTTAATGTCATTCTGCCTCCTGAAGGCAAACATAATCATGCTGATTGAATACCATGCTAAAGACAATGGCAAAGTAAATGGAAGCAAAGGGTACAGCCAACCCAGGCACAGGCATGAAAGGTGTAGTCATTAAGAGCATTTGATGGCTGTATTTGTGGTGCAAATTGCTTTTCTGTGTTCTCCTTGATGTACAAGGACAAGTACTATATAATGTATTTGGGAGGAACTACTGCTATAAATTAATCAACTTACATTAATTAATTCAATCTCCCATATTTTTTTCACAAGGTCCATCGATGTATAGCCATTAATTAGAAAGGATTTGGTATAGTCACCCAGTTCAATGGAATCCAGCCATTCAGCTACAGAGGAGGGGTTGTAACCATCGTGACCGATCTGCTTCATCTGAAAAACAAGGATGAGCAAAATTACTGGTGGTACCCATTAAACATCTTTCCAAACAGGAGTTACAAGTTATTTTCTCTGGGTCAGTTATCTTCTTCTCTGAGCAACAGTCTTTAATGGTTAGTACAACATGAAACAATTTTGTGTTTAAGCAGTAATAGAACTCAGTTTTTGATGCATCTTTTTCTTATGGAATCTTGCCTTACACCAGAGACTGTAGCTGGAGTTCAATTCTTTCTAGACATCAGAGATCCATAAGTGGGGGAAGGAAAAAGGGTAAAAGAGACATTAATATTCTTACTGCCCAAAAATGTCAGATTTTCACCTCAGATTTCATAGAAGGGGAAGAAATTAGACTGAAAAATGGTTCTTTTGGTATCATACTGTAAATGAAATATATGGTGTAGGTTGTGTTATTCCTAATTTATCTTTCCTACCAGGCTATAAGTTATTTTATAACAGCTGAACCTGCACTATATTCTTCCATCCCCAGAGAAGGTTTAAAAAAAGTCCCTTTCCTGCTCACCTGCTCACATTTTTCATGGCATGGGAATTTAACATGTTTTAGATTTCCCACTGCCTGAGATTGGACAGCTGAATCAGATATTATTGGAATGGAATTGACAGAATAATGTACACAGAAGTGTACAACTTGCATCTATATAGAAACACAGCCACCTAATGTCATAAACCTTGTTTTCATAAAAAACTAAGAATATCACTGATGTCTAATTTTTTTGAATTTTGTTAAGTGGCCAGGAGGTAAAAGCTGCAATTTCTCTTTCACAACTGCCTCTTAGTGACACAAGTGAAGACTTTCAAGACAGCCATTAAAGCCATTAAAGATAAAAATTATCTTTAAAAAAGCCTCGACCTGTGCAGTTTGTTACACCACACTGTTATAATGAATTTTAAAGTAATCTACAATAGTGGCAAAAATGAAAGTAGAATGAGGTGGAAAAAATTATGAAATAGCCTCAATTTTCAACAGTATTCTGCACATATTGTCTCTCTATGGAAATGTAACTATTGCTAACTTGATAATACACTGAACTGGTAAATTGTTAAGAAGCTTTATAGGGTTAGAAATCATGGGTTTTGCATAGGTTCTCCTCACTGTGCAGGGGTGACTGCAAATATTAAAAGCCAGTCTCCCATTTTTGCTTACTAATATACATTTCTACTTTATGAGAAACAATGGAAGTGTGACAGAAACATAATGCTTTGAGCTTAAACTCTCATGTTCACATTGCAGTGTGCCTGCATCACTCCTCTCTGGCATACTGATTTTAAAAAGGGTATGCTTAAACAGACACTTGTAAAGCAAGAACCCGATAAATGGAAGAAGAAAAATCGAGTATAGAGAAGACATGAAGACAGGGAACAGGCCCACAGGGAACACATGAGTTTCAGAAAATAGAAGGTATTTTTGTTTCCTTTCTCTAGCAAAGAAAATTGAAGCACCATGAAAACAATTTTCAACCTATTCAGATAGGGCACATTATGCAAATTATTTCTTGTGTTTCTTACTATTTGATCTTTACATTTAATAGATTCTGATTTAAAAAAAATTTTGGCATCCTGATTTGAAAAAAACTCACATAGTTTGGTCCATACTTTTGCTAACCCATCAGCCTCTATGAAAAGTAAACACAACATGGCAAGTTTCTAAATTCTCAATTCCCACTGGAGATCTCCATCAAAATAATTGTTAAAATTGATATTCCTCTATCACAACACAGTTGCAAAGGGCTGCAGGCAAGTAAACACAGGTGAACAATACAATAAACAAGAGGCTGAGAACAACTGAAATGGATGTGACAATTTCAGTCTTTGGATTTGGTGCCAATAGACAAAACTGTTATTGGGTCACTCAATAGCCTACATGAAAATACACTGCTCTGTTGTAGGGCAGCAGCTGATTCTGAAAGCTTTTTCTCTCTCCCAGATTTTTGTCTGCTAGCATTCAAGGCTGTGCTGCAGGTAGTGCAGCTGCTTAGCCTTGGATCAGATCTCTGTGAGGAAGAGCAGTGAGAAGTCTGGCCAGGGCTTTAGCCAGACCCCACTGGCTGAACTCAGGTCCATGTCCTGACACTTGCCTGAGCTACGCTGTAGGTGTGTCTGTGCCCAGCCCGCATTTGTTCATCCTCAACTATTGACACTCTCCAAGGTGACTTGTCCCGTCCTCATCAGTCCTGTCGATTTGCCCTCGGATGTGGCTGCTCACTGTCACTGTCACTGTCCCTGCCCTACTCACCTTGTCCCAGTGCTCCCTGTCCACTGACCCCTGAGCTCCCAGCCCACCTGCCCTGGCAAGACAGTTGCTTCTATCACAAAAAATGAACCTCAGAACTAGAATATTTACTATTGGTTTCAGCACAAAAGCATTATTTTGTTCGTCATGAACAGAAAACCACTCTCTTATCTAAAACAGGCTTTCTAAAATGCATCTAAAATGAAAATTAATAAAATTTTAGTATGTGTCCTCTTGTATGGAAAGTCTCTTTCTGTTTTTTAATAATACCAACTTTATTAACTGTTGTTCATAGTTACCTGAATATTTTCCTTTCAAATACTTACTGACAGACATATTGGTTATCTATATGTGACAGTATCATTAATAGTATCTGCTTTTCATATAAAATGTTATTGAGATTTTAAATAAAACCACTTTGAAACATCTGTCTGGAAGTGCTGCCCCTTTACTTTGTCAGAGATTCAGTTTAGTTGCATCTTACCCCGATCTTCACGAACAGGTCATGACTCTTATTTTTTCTTCTATACTGCACTATTATCTTGGACTCCTCTCACAGATCATTTAAACCCTGTAGACTTCCTTGCTGATTGATATTTCTTGAGAGAAAAACTCCCTCCTACCTACTGAGTGTATTTCCATGCATATTTCAATCATTTTGCACCAGCTACAACACAAGCACCAGTGGTGTCAAGCATCCAAGGTGCACACTGTTTGACTCAGATCAATGTAAAATCTTTGAGCTGCAAGTCATGACAGTGTTTCAAACATTAACTGCTCATAAATAGGGGCACTATTGTTCTTCCACAGACACTACTACCAGATCATTCAGCTGTTTAGAGAGCAATACCAATGTCAGCTTTTTCACTGCAGAAGATTTTCATGTGCCAACTGTGGAAAAGGCTAGGAATTGAAGCTCAAAGGATTTAGAGAAAAAGAAATGTTTAAGAAAATATGATTCAAAAAAGTATGGCAGAAGATATAAACCATATGAGATTTCTCTCTTAGGTCCTATTGATATATCATCAATATCACTTCCTTTGTAATGAATAGAAAGCAGAAGACAGAAAGAGCTGTTTCTCATAATAAAATAGCAATGTCAAGAAGTATCCTAACGGGTTGAGAAACCCCTCACAAGAGACTGTCTGCACAACAGACTTTTAAAACAGTATATCACTGCTGTGTCAATAGAGCATTTTACATTAGGATAAAAGGCACTTGAGTTTTTTGTCTCTGAAAGGTGGCCAAATAAACACAAATAGAGCTCCAAAATAATCACATATGCACTAGAAAAATCAAGGTAAATTCAGTAGCATGGACTGTTACCAATTTTCTCTGATGTTCATGGACAGATAGAGAATTAACACTATGCTCTCCAAAGGTAGTATCACTACCTGGTGGAGCTTAGTGTGTGTATCAAAATCAAGCTTTTTATGTGCTGTAAAATGAGGATGAGATTACTTGACTTTCACTGCTTTTTAAATGGTGGCTATGATTACTGTGAATTTATGCTTGTGCTCGTTTGGAAGAAGGATCTTTTTAGCTAGCATATAATGCTTCCTTTTACACTGCTGGCCCATTCAAGATCTTTAAGCAGCATTTTTGTGAACTTATATGAAACTATCAGCTACCTAGCTAAGAAATTTTAGGTGGTTGTAATGGGGGATATATCAGTTCTTTTGTCTTTGTCAACTGTCTGTTATGTATTATGTACTTCACAAATGTGGTCAGTTGGAATCATGTTGTTGAGAGAGGAGATCATTCCTCCTGTGGAGTGTTGAAAGAAAAGGCTCAGAAGAGTGACATTTCTGAAGCCCAGAGAGCCTGGCTGGAATAGGAACACCACATGGAGCTGGTGCCTGCAGTGCCCAGGCAGAAATTGAGCCTGCAGTCAGGGGAAGAGGGGCAGCTCTCACAGGGGACGGTCACAAATGAGAAGAATCTGAGAGGACTTTGCATGTGCTGCTGGCAGAAAGGCACTGAGTGAAACAGGGTCTGCCTGCAGAGACACAGCAGGTGAGGAAGAACTGCATATACACTTTTTGGATTTCTATCCCATCTAGCCTGTCACATATTTTAAAAGTTAACTATTCAAGCTTGTGTTCCATTAATGTTAGATTTTTCTTTCCACTAATCAAAAGCCTTCTGTCTTCTTGTGGAGCTTGCTAGAAAATGACAGTACAGGCACATTCACTTCACAGCAGTGCCTGATTCAGGATCTTGCCTCAATGGAAGGTCCAGAATACCCCTGAGTTCAGTGTTTCCTAACTAAGATTGTCAGAATTGCAGTAGCCATCCATTCTATCGTTTTTTCACCATATGGAATATATCTTCCAAATTTAAAGGAAAATAGATGCACACCTGGAGGCTTTTGTGTTTGTTTTTTTTTCTTTTTTTTCTGGATAAATGTAAACAGTTTGACATCCAGAAGAATGAAGAAACCTTCCAGTTCTTCATCAGATAAAATATGTGGGACAAGGGAATAACAGCTGTCATTCAGTGATAATGTATGCAACAGTTTGGACATATCCATTGCATAAAATGTAATCTTAAGAAGATCTAAAGATGAAATTTGTGGACAAAGTGGAAACTATGGCCTTTGATCTCATGAAAAAGTTTGTCAGCTCCGTCAGGTTGTCATCCTATTCTGGTTACCAAAAAAAGGGGATAGCACTTCCTCTCATGTAGCATATTTCCTTGCGTGCTGACTATTCTCAGAGCAGCCAGTAGATATGTGGAGCCAATCACAAATAAAGTATAAAAGAAGTAGGAAGGCAAGTAAGACATCCTGTATGGCAACAGTGGCATGCCACTGTTATCTAGATTATATAGATAAATGCCAGGGTATCATGTCTAGAGTGGCTCTCTGCTAGGCTCAGATAAGAAGGAAAATGTTTATGGTACTTCTTTCATCAGGAGTTTTGAAGCACACGCCTGGAGAGGACATTTGGTCTGTGGGACCAGTCTGAAGTTGGTCTGAAGTAAACACCTGGAGCTATAGCTTGCATGTATCTAATTACTTCTACTGATTCATTCCTATTGTGCTGCATCACTTAAATAACATAGACTACCCATTTGTATTTCAGACTTGAAAAATTCATATGTTGTATTGGATTCTAATCGCTTTTTTCTGTCCTTGTGGCTAAAGGTCCTGCAAGTGGTGCAGTGAGCATGTGGGTGGCCTTCTTTCAAACCACGAAAGTAATTTCCAGAGGCATAAGAAGCAGGGAAAACAGCAGAGTAAAAATCATGTCCTTTGACTCCTGTTTTTCATCTTCACTTCCAGCAGACCAGAAACAAGAAGTCACAGTCAGAAAGGGTCATCAACATTTTGCAGTATCTCCTAGTCTGGAAACTGTCTTAGGAATGGGAGTGCTAAATGGGAGGTAATTAAACACCAGGACTGGAAGCATCTTGCTGAGCTCTGGGGTGTCTAAGCCAATAGCAATACAGCAGCAGCAAAGACCACATGATGTGATCTTTCTCTGTTACATACACAGCATAGTTAATGAGCACATGCACAGTCGTTCTGCTTTCCTAAATGCCAGACTCACTGTGCTCGCACAAGAGTGTTACATATGAGTAATAAGTCCAGCACTTTTGGAAGAAGAGCTTTGTAACACCACTCACAGACAGGATGTGCTCATAGCCTGCTCAAATCCTACTTCTTGTCTCGTTCTGCGCAGCACTCTAAGAAAAGAGGCTGGCTGCCTGCGCACCACTGCTATTCCCAAACCTGCTTTGTGCTGAGACCTCTCTGTGCAGGAAGGAACAAGCTGCTTTAAGAACAGCTCTGAAGCCAGAAGAAAGCTGCTCTCAGCTAACATCTTTCTTCCATCTGTCAAATGAAAGCATGTGTTCCCATTATATGCTGGGAGAAGGAGCCATACATTGAGCATCCCACACAAAACCAATCCTCTTTCTTAGATAAATTCTGAGATAACCTAGGACAATTGTCATTTCAAAAAAACCCACCTTTTTGAGGAACCCACTGAGAAGTCACTTGCACATAGGTTTGGGATGCTGAAATAGCTGGCCAATTAGGTTCCATGTAAACTAAGTGTGACTAAAATTTTATGCCGTGACTGTTACTACTTTCTTAGTCAATTCAGCATACACTGCATGCAATTATTTTCTGATTATTTATTTTTTCTCAAGGTATTTGCAGCTTCAGTATCTTTTTATATGTTATCTCTTCTCAACATATCTGAATTTCCTTTCAATAAAGCATATAAAATCCTCCTCCAAAAATTTATTGATTTCATTTTTTCATACAAAAGCCTTAAATGTAATATTAAAATCTGCTATGAAATTTGCTTTAAGACTGATGTAATGTATAAAATACTTCAATTTCAAAAATTAATTTTGCAAATGACATTTCTACCAGACTGTCTTAACCTTATATTATTAAAATAAGCCATAAAGTGCTCTAGTTAATATTAAGGTGAAACTTGAGTAATTTAAATTACATTGGTGCAAGACAAGAATTAGAGCTACAAGCTCTAATCCAACAAAAATAAAGAGTATTTTAGAAAGAAGCATTCTGTCTCAAAGGTTTCAACCCCACCTACATACTGGTGAGCATACTATTTTCCCTGTTATGAAATTCTTCTCAAATACAGAATATAATGCGAAAACATTTAGAGAAATCCAGGTAAACATACCCTTTTATACTTGCATAAGAGACCACAATGATCAATTAATCTATATTTTGCCAAAATGTGGGTATTTTTCCTTATTTAAAACCACTTAAAGTTCCAGAGAATGGTTCCTAATCAGGATACTGCTGTTTGACACCTAGAAATTCATCACTCTTTAGGAAGGTAGCAGTTATGAGTAAAAAATTTCAGCTACTAAATACCCATTCCATTTCCAGGCTGCAGAGATGACTATGTATCAGAACAACAAGAAGAGCTTTTAAAAAAGGTATTTCAAAACCTTGGTGATAGATTTCTTGCTTGATTTTTACCCTCTTAACTTATTCAGTGCTGCCTGGGGTTTTAAGGAAGTGTTGTTTGATAGGTGTTTTTTAAAGCATTTAACTTCCACCTCAAAATATGAGCTAAAAAGTAGCTCAAGACAGGAAGCATTATTAGTAAAACTAAAAATAACATCATCAGCAAAGTCATTAAGTTAAAAACGCATGGAGTCATTGAGATTTAAATTAAATGAGGAACAGAAAAGACGTACATGTTCAAAACAAACAAACTAACAGAATTTTTATCTAATGAGATTCAAATTAGTGAGACTCCAATTACTGTTTGAAGTCTTAATATATTTAGATGGCATGCACTATTTTGAATACAGGATGACAGAGCTGAAATTATCAACACACAAATAGATATACAGCAATGTTTAATGGTTTGTTGCAGGATGTGAAAGTGTTTTATGTATTTAGCAAGCTGTTGTGAATACAACAAGGGTGTGCTACATTAGATAAAACTTCCCATTATCCTAATTTTTGGGCTCTATAACCTGACTTCAAAAGAACTCAGTTCATACAGGAAATTATGTGTTTTTACGATGTAAGCTCTCTTACATTGCTGAGTCATTTACATGGAGAAACATGATGCACAGCTTCAGCTTGCAACTGCATTTAATTTGGTGCAACATTCTTGCATCAAAGATGCGTTAAAAATGTGGTCCTTAGGGACTGCCTTTTTAGCTCAACAGGGAAGAAGTTGAATAAAAACTATCTCACCATCATTCAGCACATGCTTCGAGCCATCTTGTGTTACTTAAACTATCTGGTTCAGAATTCATCCAAGTAACTGCATAACCATCCTGTTCTCAACTGGTTTCAAGAGTACCTCTAGATCTCAATCCGGTCTCACATCAAGCAGATGTTAAAAGGACTGAAGTTGTAGTTTTATAACAGAATCTTCTCTCAGCATTGGTAAACGCTCCAAAAGCAGACAATATTAGCAATGTTTTCATAAACACCAGACACTGAGTGCAGATAGCACTAACATGATGATATGTTAACAGCAATTTTGAAGAATGTTAACAATACCACATGAAAGCTGATCTCTCCAAGAAGCATGAGAAATATATAAAGATATCATCAGCTACAAGCGCAGTTAAAGATTACAAAACTTTTGTTTGAATGATTATTCCTGAAAAATTAATAAATTCACAGATAAACCTTTAATATCTTTTTTTAATTCATCAAATGCTACTTTTAAAACCCTACTTCTTGTACCATTTATCTCATTAGTCTAATATGGTACATGGAAAATTATTCTTTTTAATGATCTTTGGTGTTTCTGTGTGCAGACTCACATTGCAGTATATATGGATTGACTAACACCTCCAGATACAGAAATTGCTTCACAGCTTCTGATTTTCCCATATAAAAGAAACCTTTGTGCTCTTTTACGAGTCATCCATCCAGGAAGCCTTGATGCATCAAAAAGTCTTTTTCAACCATGTCTGCTTTATGATCTAAATGGAAAAAGCCTTTAATAACTCTTGTCATTCTCCAGTATTATGAAACTTCAAGTGGATTAATCTTTATTTACCTTGATTACTTCCGACATGCTGCTACGAGAACACTCAGTGCATGGTACACTTGATTTTATTCCTGCCTTAGTATTTTGCACGAAGCATCAGCATCACATGTGAAAGCTTTCTGAGTCCTACTGTGTCAGCTCTTCGTCATTCATTCTCCTTTTAAAATTTTCCAAATTAAAGTAGCGATTTTTCATGCTAGGTCCACTATCTCTTGTTTGGAGTGGTAGTAGAAGCCTCCAGTGATACATTCTGGTACGCAGAATATTCTATCACTGATTTTAAAATTGAGATTTTAAATTGGCTAGTACTAAAAATGATTGGGAAAATGGCTACAAGTTTTTATGTTCGTAGCTGAGAAGCAAAATTCATATACATAGGAGAAAATTAAATATGCAGCCTGCAGGAAGTCTCTGTATCTCACACAAAAGGCAGGTATTAGGAAAACAATCTTTCCTCCAATGCTTTTAAAAGTACTTATGAAAGGGGCAAAGTATTTCCAGGGCAACTCCTCTGTTAAGAATGTCATTCTGGGATTCATGGATAGCCTTATTTACACATACGTAATGGCAGTCTATAAATAGGCTGAAAGGCCAAAAGGAATTCAAATTCATTCTAAACAGCCATCACGTCAAATTACAGATTTACTTTCCTTTGCTTTGTCAACTACATCTATGCAAAGGGAGTCCATTGCATTGACATTATTTTATGCCATATTTGCATACGCAAAAAATGCGTCCACAAAACCAGTAGAGTTACGTCTACCACCATTCAAAAAAGGGTTTTAAATAATGGGAATACTGCAGGGGTTAGTTCCCTCACTTGTATAATAACAGAAACTATACCTTTGGGAGAAGCTGGATTGCTTGGAGTATTCTCTGTCTGTGCCCAGAGTTAAGGATTCCTATTTCCAAGAGATCCTGGTCCTCCATCACGTTGCTTCCCTAAAAATGGGGAAAAAAGATGGAATAAAAATTAAAAACTTAACAGATGCCCTCAATACCCCAAAACAGGTCTTTCTGTCAAATTTAAAAGAGAACACTTTGCTTAACTTATAGCATCTGACAAGAATAACAAATTACTGATGATTTCATTCATTTTCACGATAACAAAATATGGTGGCAGGTAGGTGCTTGAACCCGTGGACTATTGCTACACTGCTGGCAGCACTGCTCGTGGAGAAATTGTAGCTTTCACTCAAGCCAAATACCAGATGTGAATGCTCTTTCATTTGGAACCAAGGACATGACTACTAAATTGTTCAGAAAGTCTCCATTTTTCAATTCACCTCCTACCTCATATATGTATTTATGGAGTTCATTTTTCTCCAGATTGAAAAATAAAAAACCCCAACACAGAATAAGATGAGGAGAGTGGATGAGAATAAAATTATTTAGTTCATTGATAGTAAAATGATGAAGAAATGGACTGGTATCAACAAACTATGTAGTCCCCATCCCCATTTAACTGTACCAGTTCAATCCTAACTTTACTTGTCACTGCTTTTATCCTCCTGCTCGTGGGCAGGTCAAATAGTTTCAAATATTCAAATAGCTGAAAAAGACCATCTGTTCAAATAATACACAAAATAATTGCCCAGAAAAGTTCATGAAGTAAACCTCCACAATTCAAGCATCTCTTCATAGGAGTTGCTAGTAGTAGGAGCTACACAAAAAGGACAATACAACTCCTGAATTCAAGGAGTCTGACACCACCTAGTAAGTCCAGCATTTGAAGGTCAATGATCTAAAGAGCTGTCAGTGACTACTGAAGGAATCATTGGAGGCACGAAAGTGGCTTAAAAGAGGAATTGAAGACAAGGATCAAGTTGGGATTGCTGGCAATCTTGTATTCTTTTGTGAACTTATAATTTCAGAAAAAAAAAATCAGCTTTTTAAAAATACATTTTGTTTTTAAAAAGTTTTTAACTATTACAGTTGAAAGCAAAACAACATGAAAAAACTGATGACCTGTCCTGATCTCTTAGCCCTGTTGGAGTCTCATAACACTAATTGGCTAGAAGCAAGAATTCTTACTTGTACTCTTTTAATTTGATCACTAAATAGGCGTTATGTGAGCAAATCCATGAAAACTTCATCTCTACCTTTCCATTTGACTTGCTGTTTCTGACTTAGCACAGCTCTTAAGAAGTGGCAAAATGAAAAGCAAATAGGCACATAACAAAACATGCTTAAATGCTTTGCTGAGTCCGGGCTTAATAAAGGATATGACTTCTTTCTGAAAATAAAATCCTCTATCCCAAAGAAACATGGATTTCTTTTAAAAATCACCCTGGAATATGGAAGATTTCACCATGTTCAGCTGCTAAATCTTCATTCTTTCCAGATGGACTGATTAGTTTACAGGTGTACCCCTGAGGATTCCCAAGTGCTACTCCACAGAGTACAAAATCTAGGTAATGTCTTTTCAAGGGAATCGAGGAAACTTTGCAAAGCTATTACATTTTAAACTATACAGCAAGTGGTATGGTTTAAGACTACAAATCTGCAAATCATACCCTGAAACAATCTGTGTGCAGCATTCAGAAGAGGGTAGGCAGACACCTGCTCTACCAGGAGAAGCTGTGCAATGATGCCGGCTTAAGTAGAACACCCAATATAAGAGTACCTGCTGCATGGGCTGTGCAACAAGTGACAGTGATTAGGCGGGGGTAATACCCTCTTCATCTCCCTGGTAAACACAGTAAAAATATAATTTCCCCTTTCTGCATTTCTCTTTTAAGTAACCAAAAGGAGGCTGTAAACTTACAGAAAAAACTCTTGAAAAAAGCCATCCATTTTGGGCTGGATACTCCAGCAGCTGGAAGCAGCTAACATAAATGGATTTAAGGGAACTGAGCCAACTGAGAATCCAGTCCAAAACAAAGGCTATACATTTCCATTCATTTTAATAAATGCACCTATTTTGTTTGCAGCTACTGCTTTCAGTTCATTTAACAGTTTTTTAGATTCCACCTTCATTACTGCATGATGTTTACACACAATCATGGTGTACTCATCACTGTTTACTGGTGCCAGTAACCTTGGCATACAGCTTCAACTATTACAATGTTTAAAACTCAATTAAACTAACAGGCACAGGAAAAATATTTGCATGTAGTTGCTGCATCACAGAGAAAGCATTATTTTATTAATTCTTTGCTATTGTTTTTTCTGTATGTATCATTTCATGTATTTTTTTGAAGTACTTCAAGGTTACAAAAGCAAATATTTAAAACTCAGGAAAACCTGAAACTCATGTTGCCTCCTCATTCCCAGTATAGTAAGGCAACAACCTTGTCTTTGAATGTTCTCAGGTTCTAGAGCTTGCTGTGTCAACGTTAAATGTCAACAGCCACTCAACCCTCTTGTAAAACTGATTTTATTGTCTTCTGCCCTGGAGCTAAAACAACTTTTCATCTTCCCACAAGAACAAACCAGAGAAATTTAGATACTCAGTATAATCCACTACTGCTTAGCATAGAGGAATACAGTCATGGCAGTAGAAAGCTGTTGATTTGCAGAAATATCTGTGAAGAGAAAGAAACAGCCTATCCCTCACAGTCCTATCTCCCCAGTACATGCTCACATTGCCCCCTTAATCCTATTCCCTGACTTTTTTTTCCCTGATTATTCCTCTTGTGCTCTTCCAGTCTCTTTCCATAGGTTCCTATATCAACAGTGAAGAAATCCTAACTTCCTTCTACTACAAGGGGAGAAATTCTTTCCCTGCTCTTAGCTTCCATCTATTATAAGCTGGGCCAAATGTAACCTCAATTAACTTTAGAGATGACATGGTAAATGTAATTAAAATGAATATGAATGCAAGAATATCTTGTCACCTTATTTCATCCTTAAAAAAAGTTGAGTTATTAGTTGAAATTATTCACCAAAAAGAAATTATCCTAGTAGACACCTAGAGAATTTGAGTCCAAAGATTTAACTTTTACATGCTTATGTGCAAAACAGGTTCTTATAATAGAAAATATCGATAAGCAATCTACTTAGCTTATTATGCTTTCTGTAATGAAAACATAAGAGACTTTGTGATACTGTAGTTTCTTAAGTCTATAGGAAAACTTAGTTGGAAGGAAAACTTCTTAGATTTAAAGCCATAAAAACACACCAAAATTGCTTATACAAGGAAAGATTCAGATCTTATTCACTTCAGCTTACAGTGTTGAAATTTCTGTCTTATTAATGCATAATAGTCTAATGAACTGGAAGGATCCTGCTTCTGAAGGAAGGAGTGTACTGAAACCCTCCACCCCCCAGATCTGTGGTTCTGCACAACTCCCAGGATCATCATCTTTTTCCCTGTAAGCGCACACAGGAAGCTCATCTCTTGAGCAAGAAGGCAGTAGTTTCACAGAACAGTTGGGCTCAAGAATGAAGGAAAAACTGCATGTGGGAGACTGGAAGCATATGAAAAACAGCACATTTTTTAAAACCCAGAAATTTTGCCAAATTCTGAGATAGTTCCTATAAATGAGTTCAGAACAAAATGCATAATGATACATTATGAGATAAAGATGTCACTGGCATTTATTTGGGTTGTTCAATATAAAATCACCTCTTGCATTCTTCACCTAAATACAGTCATTCCCAGAAACTCTGGATTAGACCTAAACATCCATATTCATTCCACCTTCTCCAGAAACAAAAGAACTCTGAAGATTTGTCCCATAAGTTAATAAAATATTGAACAACATATTAGAATGGCAGGCATGACTGTATTTTTCACATTTGTACCATTCCTCCATTGGTACCTATGTTTTTAATCTGCCTTCACATATTTTTTGTGCTGGAGAACTATCATTAAAAATTCTAATGTCTGGTTCTCTCACCTAAGTGAAATGATACAGAAGCTTTAAAATAGTTGGCAGATGTATGACTAGACTTCTCTGGAAATTCAACCACTGAGGTTGGAAGAGATGAGCTGCGTGAAACAAAATTACTAAAAAAGAAAGAAAAAATTTACTTTGAATTTAAAGTTTTCCTTCTCCCCTGCAAAGGAAAAAGACTTACATAAGAAATAGAAGATTAGGGGTCTTTTGGCTTTAGGCTGGCAATGCCAACTTAACCAGTTCTTTCAGAGTTCATCTGCATCAGCAGAGGAGGAAAAGTAGTAAATTGGGTACCTAAAGCTATGTGAGTGCTGCTGCTCAACAGGTTGAGTCAAAGTAATTTGCTGTGCAGCCATTATTGAGACCAAGGTCAGCTGGAGATATCAAGTACTACTGGAGGTTACAACTATTTCTGGTAATGTTTTATGTTTCTGATGTACTGGAAACTGGTTTGACAAAGCACAGGACTGGTGTAGGTAAGGGAAGGATGACTTCTGAAGTAAGTACAGGGTTGTTGGGGCAGCAGAAGTGCTTGCATCACTCCCAATGTGCAGGGAGCACTTTACACACCCTTTTGTCCCCTCCTAGTCATCCATGTAGTAATCTGCTGCACCATCAAAATAATGAGATCAGAAGAGACTCTGAGGAGCTGATACAGGTGGCATCCACCACAAAGCAGTGGCTAGACAAGGTCTGGTGGGTGTTTGAAGTCCCTTGCCAATGTCTCTACTGAAGTGTACTGCACTGAGCCTCACGCTGATGGACTGAGACCTGGCACTGCAGGAGCACAGCTGGGGCATTTCGGTGGCATTGGGCAACAGGCCTCATACTTCGGCTTACAGAGCTGCTGGAAATATGACCTGGCACAGAAAAGAAAATCTGCTGGGTTGTACACTTAGCCAGAGTACCCAAGAGTACCATTATAAGAGTCACTCAGATAAGAGAGGTGGGAGCAGGGCAGGAGCAGATGGGCATGTTCTTCCATTACACATGGTTGGAGACTGAAGTCAGAGAGAAAAAACTCAGATCATCAGCATCAAAAAGCTCTATTCTTTCTTACTGTCTGCAATCCTAGATGCATAACTGGCAAGGGAATAA